GAGTCAGGAAGACCTAAGACCTTTATCAAATCCTTCACTAGGTTATTTACCCTCTGTATGACCCCAGGAAAATCAATTAAACAGATCTTGGCCTCAGTTTCTATATCTAGAAAAGGGGGGCAAGAATGGCATCTGCCTTACAGGACTCTTCTGTGAGGACTGAATGACATAACATATGTAAAGCACTTTGTAAAGCTAATGCTATATAAATATCAGTGATAGTGATGATAATGATGATGATGATGATGATGATGATGATGATGATGATGATGACTGATGATTGATGATGGAGATGGAGTAGGGTAGAAATTAGTTTTGCTAGTTTAGATGCTGAAGTACGGATAAAATTGGAAATTAAATTCCAAAATCTAGCTGTTCTAATATGCATCAAATAAAGTTCTTTAAGCTTCCTTTTTTTCCCCATTTTCTTTTAGGGAAAAAAAAAACAATCCAACAAGACTGCACACCTAGGGAAATTATCTAGTTTTGCAATATTCCCTGAAGGACTTAAAGTTCATTAATCAGCAAATGGAATATATCAACACAAAAATAGAAATTCATATTTTTTTGAGATTCATATAACAACACAGAAACCCTCGAACTATTTTACCACATTTTAAGATCAAAGTGAAGTAGTGAGACATAGGGGACAAAGAGCTAACCTCAAAGCCAGGAAGACCTGGGTTCAAACTCTGTATCTGATATATACTAGCTATGTGACCCTGGGCAAGTCCTGTGGCCTCTCAATGTTCTTGGCAACTAAAACATTAAGTTGCAGAAAAGATGTTAACCTGCATTGATAGAGGGAGTTAACCTTACCAGGGAGTTCCCTACTAGTAAAACCACAGGTTCATTCCCTATCTCTGTCTCAGATCAAAAGGAAGAATGGCTTATGTGTTTACATATAGTTCAAATCCCAAAATATCATTTACCCCATAGGGAACAAATACTTTGATGGAATTTCGTTCTATTGAATACACTTTTGTCTACCCATGTTCCTGTCTACAGGAAATAAAACTCTGTGCACCCACCATCATTACTGTTTATGCTAGCTGGCTGATGTCAACCTTGGTCAATTGAGTGCTTTGGATGCAATGTGAACAAAGATGGGGAAAAAATAGTAGGTCACATTCCTTTTCTCCAAGCTGATGAATCTTTATCTATGTGGTAGTGACTCCATCTCTCTCAATTTCAATCTTTCTCTCTCTAACAGATCCTATTTATTGGTAACAAACAAGCTCAGGTCTCCCCTATTATCAAACAAACAAAAAATTCTTTTGACTATACAGTCTCATCAAGTGGTTTCTTTCCCCAACACTTACTGAAACTCTATTCTCCAAGGTTGCCAATGACCTCCTAATAGACAAATTCAGTAATGTCTGTTTGACTTATAAAGACCTTCATTACCTAGTCCCTTCCTATAGCCTTACTCCCTCCTCTCCATGAATGGGCTTTGCCTCATTCAAAGTGAGAACTTGAAAAGACCTTAGGTTAAAAGGGCCAAGGTCTCCCACTGCATCCTGAGCCATCTCCAGTCATCCTGACTGATATCTGGCCACTGGACCCAGATGGTTCTGGAAGATAAAGTGAGGCTGGTGACTTTGCACAGCCCTCCTTCACTCAAATCAAAGTCAATTGCAAATCATGTCATCATCTCCATGATATGGTCCTTTTTGAGAAAGAAGGACAAACTACAACCACAATCCTGACTCAGGCATTATATACTACGCCTCTAATTATCTTCTTCTTTATCTCCATCCCATAGCTTCTCAGGCTTTATTTTTAACTCTTAGCTGAAGTCCCACTTTCTACAAGAAGTCTTTCCCAGTCCTTTTTAATCTTAGTGTATTCTTTCTGAAATTAGCTCCAATTTACCCTGCATACATTTTCTTTTGGTGGAGTTGCTTACATGTCGTCTCCCCCATAAAGGAAGTTATTTGAGAGAAGGGACTTTTTTGCCTTTCTTTGTATCCCTAGTGCTTAGCACAATGCCTGGCTCATAGTAAGCACACAATAAATACTTGTTGATTTGATTACTTTTATCAGTCTTTTTATCCTTTTATCCTTCTTAACATGTTCTTCTATAACATAATTGGCCACCCATTTCTTGTAGGTATTTCCTTTTTCCTAGGTTTCTCTGACACTATCCTATCCTGATTCACTACCTACCTTTCTGAACAAACCTTCTATGTCTCTTTTGCTGACTTCTTTTATTGTATTCTCGTCCCTTCTTAATTATTGTCCTCCACAGGCCTGTTCTTGAGACTCTGTTCTCTTCTTTCTACACTCTCTCCCTTCACAATCTCATCTATTTCCAAGGCTTTCATAGAAAACAACATGGCATAGTTGTAAAAAAAAAATTAAAAATAAATGGTCTTAGGGTCACCAGATCTGAGATCAAGTTACCTAACTCTTACATTTAGTAATCATGTGAGCCAGGTAAATGTATATAAATTTCCCATATCCCAATTTCCTTATTATTATCCTGTATATATTATTATCCAGTGTTCTTACATTTTACTCCCCAACACTTACTCTTCAATCAAGTGACATTGGCCTCCTGGTTCTTCCATGAGCAAGACACACCGTCTCTTGGCTCCCAGCATTCTCTCTGTTTGTCCTCCATGCCTAGAACACTCTCCCTTCTCTGCTTTTACTACTGGTTTTCCTGGCTTCCTTCAGGTACCAACTAAAATCCTATTTTCTACAGAAAGTCTTTCCCAACCTCTCTTAATTCCACTTCTTTCCATCTGTTCATTATTTCTTGTTTATCCTGTATATAGCTTGTTTTGTATATATTTGTTTGTATTGTTGTCTCTCTCCTTAGATTGTAAGTTCCTTGAAGGAAGCAACTGTCTTTTGCCTCTTTTTGTATCCCCAGTACTTAGTACGGTGCCTTAATAAATGTTTATTGATTGATTGATGGAGTGGATATGGTAGATGTAGTCCAATTTTTAAACAAGGCCTTTGAAGTTTCCTTCAGATGCCAGTGCTTCCCCCTGCAATTTTTAAAAGTGATCTAATATTTATGTGTGTATCTATATATGTATGTATGTATGTATATATATATATGGATGTATTACATGTTTTCTCCTCTGATAGAACATAAAGCGTTTAGCACAATATCTAGCACATAGTGGGCACTTAAGTGCTTTTTCCCTTTCTTCCCTCTCTCCCTTGAAGGCATAGATTTAATTTTTTGTCTTTTTATTTCGTACCCAAGCACTGTGCTTGGCATATAGTAGGCACTTAATAAATAATTGTCGATTGGTTGATTATCTCAATTATGTGCTCTTTGAAAAAGAAAAGCTGATCCTAGAAGACATGATGGAGCTGAAATATAATTCAGAGCATTAAAATATTCATAAAAAAACAATTCTACCCATGGGTCTACTCATGCCTACCAACAGAGAATAAACAGTTCATTAACTTCTTCCAAGTCCTTAGGCTTCTTCTTATCATTAAGGTACCATTTCCTATATTGCTATTACTCAAAGAATTAATACCTTCTCCAAGTCAGATTCATTTGAACCTCATTGTCAGCCTCAAAGATAAGTTTCCTTTTTTCCTATTTCATCATTGTCACTTTATTGTATAAAGGTTGGGTTAGAGTAAAATAACACATCAAGAAAAATAATGTAGTAAAGAATTACAGAATTTTGAAGCTAAAAGTAATCTTTAAAATTATCCAAGATATCATATTCATGTTTGTTTTTGTTTTGTTTTTGTTCATACCTATGATTTTGTCAGTGGGGGAAATTTCCTGTGTGGAAACTCCCTTCATCAAGGTAGGTTAGGAACTCATCTTTAACTCAAGATCAGAAGCTCATAGGTTTAGAATTAAAAGTTTCCTTAAAAGTCATCAAGACCAACCTCCTCGTTTCATAGATGAGGAAACTAAGAACCAGAAAGGTTAAGGAACTTGCTTAGCTAAAAGTAAGATTTGAACTTAATTCTTCCAGTCTCCAGGTTGTGAGCTCTATCTACTACAGCACAGTACATGGCCTCTCATAGGCTTATAAAGTTGTCTGAGGAACTGAGAGCTTAAGTGATGTGCTCATGGTCACTTAGCTAGTATGTGTCAGAAATAGATTTTGAAATTAGATCTTTCTAACTCTATCTACTATGACATCCTGCCTTTTACAGATTTGGGCAGCTAGGTGGTGCAGGGGATAGATAGAGTGCCAGGTCTAGAGTCAGGAAGACTCCTCTTCCTGAGTTCAAATCTAGCCTCAGACACTTAGTAGCTGGGTGACCCTGGGCAAGTCACTTAACCCTGTTTGCCTCAGTTTCCTCAGCTGTAAAACAAGATGGAAAAGGAAACAGCAAACCATTCCAGTATCTGTATCAAGGAATCCCCAAATAGGGTCATGAAGAGTCAAGTATGACTGAAAAACTGCTAAACAACAACTTTTACAGATTTAAAAAAAAGGGAGAGAGACCCAAAATGTGACTTTCCCAATGTCATAGTGAGTTAGAAGACTAGCCAAGAAAAGATTCCAGATCCCCCATTGACAAAATTCTTGGTCTCCTATTGACAAAATAAGCTGGTTCTTTATGATTCATTTTACTTTTATTCAGTTTAAAGCACTTAATCCTTTTTAGCTTTCAAAACAATGGATACACCTTTGTCTAGGATTTTCTGCCTGGATGCATGAGTTAAGCAAGATTACCTCCTCAAATCCTTTACCTCTACTTTGAATCAGTGATTCACTCTCAGATAACTTATGCATTTCAAAATATTCTTCACTAATAAATACCATCATTACCACTAATACTAACACAGGTATATTGAGTGGAGATGAACCCTCCAGATTGCTTTGCTCCTGTACATCACAAAATGCCAGTAAGCGGAAATAATCATTTTGCAAAAAAATCTGAACAAGCATTGATTACCAGTTTTTCTCAGCTAAGACACAATGGGGAGAACTTGCCTGTTACTTTCAGCCTTACACACATGTAGATAAAGTGATCTATCTTTTAGAAGCCATACTACTTACAATTTGACTGGGGTTGTTGGGGGGTAAGGCAAGATCTTCTTTTCTTTCTGAAATATTTTTTTATAATGTTTCATGAAGTTTTCATGCGCTTCTTTGGTGCCCCGAGCACCTTTTCTAAAGAATTAGGTAGAAAATATGTCTTCATTATGCAGAATTTAAATTCGTGCTATAGAATCATCAACATTAGAGCTGGGGGTGGGGAGAGGACAAAGAAACCATCTAGCTCCTTCTAAAGCTTTAAACACCTACATGTGGCTCTTTTAGCCAAAAATAAACAAACAAATCTGTAGTTATGTATTGATATGTCTCATTAATGCATAAACATTTGCCGTAATAAAACATTGAATATTAGACCAGTAAAGGCCTCTCTAAGCTGTTCGTAGTACCTCTTCCTTACTGAAGCACCCCATTTGGACCCCTATCCTTATTGTAGCCCCACTTTGACAACATTCTCCTACTCCCACCACTACTCTGCCTGAAACATGTCAGCCTAGCATTTGTTGTTGTCACATTTCCCTTACTCTACCTCCACTTTTTAATTTTTTTCATATCTCGATCCATTCGGGGCATGACCTTCCAAAATATAGTAATCTAACCTCCTAAACTCATTGGCCTAAAGGAAGAAGGCTGTAGAAGCACCTCAAGCATCTCTCTCCAGTTCCTAGGCCACACTTATACATTGTAATGTGAACCTTCTAGAAAAAAATTTATTATTTAGTCTATTAAGTTACATTAACTTGCATAAATTAAAACTGGTAGTATGGCATAGTGGTTAAATCTAGCCTCAAAATCAGGAAGACCTGGTTTCAAGTATTACCTTTCACACATGCTACCTGTGTAACAATAAATAAATCTCTTTACCTCACAGTGACTCACTAAGGCAACTCTCTAAAACTGAAGATTTTGAGGAGTTATTCTCAGAATCAATTTATTAGGTGTTTGACAATGTATTTAGTGTTGGGAATACAAGGAAAAAAGTAAAAATAGTCCTTTTTCCTCAAGAAGCTCACATTCTAATGGGGAAAACATGTGTATATATGTGTGTATTGTATCTGTATACATACATACATATTATCATCATCATTATTATTATTATTATTATTATTATTACATTAGAGGGGAATATATTATTAATTAGGGCTCCATACACCAAGGAAATCATAGGTCTAGACCAGAGAATACAAATACAAAAATATACATAGCTCTTGAAGTGACTCTTCATAAAGGCATATACTGAAAATATTTTCCCCAAAATGGCTCTTCTCTTTCAAAAGATTACAAGGCCCTATTATAGTTAAGTCCTCTCATTATAGATGAGCAAATTAAGGTCTCTGAATAATAAGGTTTTGAGGGGGAAGTTGTCTTTTGTTTTGTTACTCTTTTTTTTCTTTTTTCTTTTTTCTTTTTTCTTTTTTTCCCAAGCTCCCTCTCAAGTCTTCTGACTCCTAGTCTGGTGATGGCATGACCACACCTTGTAATTTCTCATAATTTCCCTCTTCCTATCTTCCAAGATGAAGATGTTTCATCATAGAACAGCATCATATTGAACTTACTGCTTAAGAGAGATGGCCAATTACAACAATACGTATGTTGTACTAGGACAATTTTATTAAACATACTGCCTTATTAAATACAGTAGGAGAGAGACAGTTCTAGAGTCCAGCAAAGGGTCACACCAGAGCTCCAGCTGCAGCAAGAAATAGGACCAGACCAGTAAAGAGTTCAGGGGCATATCAGAACCCAAGATTCAGCAGGAGACAGGGCCAAACCAGCACATGGATAGACCATACCCAACCCTATATAGAGGGCAGATTGAGCCTGAACACAAGGATATAATGTCAGAAAATCCCTGAAAGGTGTGGTCTAGTCTTAACCACTGTATCTAGGAACAAGCAGATCTTGTCCACGATACCTAAGAGTATGGGTAGAAGCAGAGTTACACCCAAGCACAAGCCTTCAATCCAGAAATCAAAACTAAAGAGTAAACAGAAGAAACAGTAAAGCCATAAAAGAAATGGATGGAAGGAAGGAAGGAAGGAAGGAAGGAAGGAAGGAAGGAAGGAAGGAAGGAAGGAAGGAAGGAAGGAAGGAAGGAAGGAAGGAAGGAAGGACAGATTCAAGATGAATGGGAAGGTTCTAGTTGCATGAAATCAGATTATAAACTATCCCATGATTACCAAAATAAGTGGGTACTATGGAATGGGGATCCTCTCCACCCACTCACACCTCAGGCTGCCCTTAAGTTCTCTTTTTTTTCTGGCATAACACATAAGCTCTTTAGGCCAGCATTCAAAGCCTTCTATGATCTGTTTCCAAATCTACTTTCCTAAATCTACTTCACATATTCCATTTTGCATACTGTTCATTCCAAAAATAAAATAAAGCTATGCGTTTCCATTCCCTGAACTTAATTTGCTATCTTTTACATCTGCATTTTCCAATGACTAGAACAATGTATCCAAATGATTGCTTCCTTCAAGGTTCAGCTCAAGTGCTACCCACCGAGGAACTTTCTATGATCCCTCCAACTGGCATTCTCTCATTTCTCTAATTCTGAATCTCTTTTTTGTTTCCATCATCCCCTTCCTTAAATTATATTTATCTGTGTATATATCACTCCATCTCCCACCCTTCCCCCAGTAATCTCCTTGAAGGCAGGGACTATGTCTTTTTTCATTTTGGGATCCCTTTGTCCTCTCACGGTGTCTTATACATTAAAGACACTTAACTGACACGTGCCATTGAAGTAGTTTGGCAGAAGTATCAATCCCATTACCAAAACCACAGGGAATAGCTTTTTTTTTTTTTTTAGTGAAGCAATTGGGGTTAAGTGATTTACCCAGAGTCACACAGCTAGTGAGTGTTATGTGTCTGAGGCCAGATTTGAGCTCTAAGTCCTCCTGACTCCAGGGCTGGTGCTCTATCCACTGAGCCACCTAGCTGCCCCATATCATAAAGCTTTAAATAACCTTTTGGTATACTTTGTTGCCACTTATCTATTTAAACTATTTGGAGGGCGCAGAGAAGCAAAACACATTTTGATGAGAGGCAAATTAATTTGGTGAATTCATTTTCTTATTTATATATGACCATAAACCAATTAGTGGGAAACAGGCCAGAAAATCGTTATCTGTTCATTGCATTTTCTATAGATTATGTGCCCTCTTGGGCTTATCAGGCAAGCCAAAACTCCAACGTTTACATACCTTATCTAATGAGAATCTAGCAAAATATGAATGTCTATCTTCCACATTAGGAAAAGAACAGGTGTGATTTTCTATGAATTAAGCTAATTTCTCATACTTCTAACTATACCCATAACTGGGTTTCATCCTTTTATTATAGTGTCTTGAAAAAATTACAATGAACACACTAATGTATTTTTAATATGTCCTTGACCCAAATGAAAAGGGTATAGCACTAGAAGCTATTTCAGATCCCTCAACATTAACACTCTGTTCTATGAGGTCTATTCAACTCATTCTATACATCTTATTTGAAGAGATTAGGCTCTTTCGCAGATTTCATTGGTCTTTTTCTATCAAGAGATATTTATGGCTTCAAGTTTTTCATGTTCATCATCCTGTGATTTGACAGCTTTAAAAATGCCCACTCTCAAAGGAGTTCAAAATCCTAATTCAATTAATTTCTTGATATCAAGTCTCTAATTTTCAATTCTGAGGGTTTTCTGGAAATAAACTAAGATTATTTCTTCCACAGGATTATATTGCAAAATCAAAGCTTTAAGACTAAATCTTAATGTTTAAAATAATAGATGGCTATTTATGTTCCAGATAAATATGGCTCTGACATCCTAAATGAAACATTAAATTGTTAGTTGTCAAATTGTTTGTCAAATTAACAGAAACTTCATGACTGAATTTGTTTGACCCTAATCAACCTAAAAATAGCTAGCATGGTATTATGGGTAGAATGTTGAATTGAATATTATTGAGACATGGGCTCAAATCTCACCTCTACCATTTATTAGCTGTGTAACCATGGAGAGATTCACTTAAACTCTATTTGTGATTGATCTGCTAATTCACTGGAAAAAGATTCCACAACAGAAGTTTCCCACAATAATGAAATCACAGAATTATGGGGGAATCGATATGAATCCATTATTGACATTGGCCTGATTTGTGGTTGCTGTTTTTTCACTGCATAATAGCTTCAGTTATAATCTATATTTGAGAAGCCTTCATTCCAATTTTGTCCTGGAATGTTTTTACACAGTGAAGCCCCTTTGATTTGTTGCTAATTGTTAGTCACTGGTAATCGCTAGTATTTGTGTTTATATAGGATTTTTCAGTTCAGTTAGTGCTTTTTTTCAAAATAATTCTGTTAAGTAGTAAGGCAAAGCTAGGACTAGTATGGGGGCAACCAAGGGTCCAACACACATCAATTAATCAATCAACAAACATATATTTAGCACCTATTATTTGTCAGGCACTTCTCTAAACACAGGATGCCACTGATAAAAAGAAAGTCTCCACATATGCCACATTATAAGCAGCATTTTTGTGTAACAACAAAGAATTGGAAACAAAGTAGATAACTATCAATTAAGGAATATCTAAACAAATTATGGTATATGAATGTAATGAAATATTACTATGCTATAAAAGACGATGGATATAATGAATACAGAGAAGAGTGGAAAGATATATACATAAACTGATGCAGAGTGAAGCCAACATAGCCAAGGAAATATATACAACGACTACCACAATGTAAACAGAAAGAATAACCACATACACAAAAAAGCATAAGTTAATGTTGTAAAATTATAAAGAATGGTCTAAAAGGAGAGCTATAAGACCATATATACCCCCATCTCTTTGAAGAGGTGGGTGTCCACAACTGTTGCACAATGCACATTTTTTTTAGACTTTTTGATGTATTAATTAGTTGTGATGATTTTTTACTTTTTCTTTTTCTTCAAAAAATATTACTTGTTATATGAAATGGTTCTCTGGAAGGAAGGGGAGAGGGATTCTGGAGGAAACTATAATGAAACTATAACTGTTTTTAAAAAAAAAATTTTAACTTTAGAGAGAACAGTTCCACTTGAGTGAGGAGGTAAGTCAGATTACAAGGAGTTGAAAAATGAGTGAAAGCCTCTTTCCAGAGAGATGATGAGCTCAAGGTGTAGAATAAAGCTTACATTTTGTGGATTTAGACAATGTAAGAATTCATTTTCTTGTCTTTGAATATTTTTAAAGAGTTTTGGTTTCCTTATTTTAAATTTGAGCATGGGATGAAAGGAGTAGATCGAGTTGCCCATAAAATAGAAAGAAAAAGATAAAAAAGAGGAACACTGAAGCAGTTTTTTTAAAGGAACAGAAGAAAGCAGAGGGAAGGCCAGAAGGAATAGCAGGCAAGCAAGACAGCTTGAAAGTTACATGATTATTTTTTAAAACACTTTTAAAGGAAAACTAGCTATATATACTAGAGATTTGAAGTTTCTAGTACAATTCTTTTTATGTTCTAATATGTATATGAAAATAGTCGCCTATTTGGTGTTTAGGTTCTGAATAAAAGTAATTTTTTAAAAGAAGCAAGAAGATAAAGTCAAGGAAACAAGGGTAGACAGTGGCTTTTTTCTTCTTCGAGGAATTATTGATGTCATTGTTTAGACCGAAACTTAATTTATGTAACTCAATGCATAGCAATGGCTGTGTTATAATTCTAAGCAAACCTAAATAAAAGAGCGTCCATTAATGAAAACAGAAACTAGAAATCTGATCAGTTATAAGTTAACATCAAGTAAATAGAGTTCAAAATAGCAATTATTAGTTGTAGAAAAGATAGAATAGAATCAATTTGGATAATGATTTCCTCAGAGACAGAGTAAAGATGGCAGAGTAAAAGTAAGAAGTTGTTCCCAGTTAAACCAATACACCTCCATGATAACCTAGAAAATGTCCAGATTGAATTCTGATGAGGAAAGCCATGAAAAAGTCATCGTGAGTCATTTTTACAGTACAGGGCAGCTTAGGAAGATAGAGAAAACTGAAGACACTAGGACTGAGGCTGGCCAGGCGCACAGTACTGTAGCAGAGGTAGTGGTGGCAGCTACAGGGAGCATGAGAGTGTACATGGGCAAGTGAACATCAGAGCAGGAACCACCAGTGCAGAAAGAGATCTCAAAAGACCTCTGAACCAATGCTGGAAACAGAAATGCATACCCTGTCACTCATTATTTAGTTCTATGTCATAGTTAATAGTGGAGAAATTGGTCTTGGCCAGATTGAAAGAAGCCCTAGCTGTATACAGAGCCAAGAATAAGGTCCCAAAACTGATCTGCATGACTTTGATCCCAAGAACTGTATGGGTGGGATGGGAAGATTCAATTCTAACTTTTAGTTCTGCACATAAGCCTGCCATGGAATGACCATGGCAGGAAACCAAGACCAAAGAGGAGTCAAGCCGTGCAGTCACTCTGAACCTTCAGATCCTAGTATTGGGCTAACAGTCACCAAGGCAAGAAGCAGTTTACTGAAATTCAATTACACACAATCCAACAGACTCAAACTTGGGTCAGGAACTGCAGACCTCAGGCAAGTATTTCAGTAAACAGACCTCTCCCCAGATCACACCCCTTTGGAAGCACTGAAAATGCGTAGGCTCCCAGATTGAGCTGTGAAAATAAAAGATATTGAATGACAGACACTCTGGCCAGACTTCCCCTCCAGAAATGAGCAGAGCCCAACACTAAAATAAAGTCCAAAGTCAAGAATAGGCTGGAAGAATGAGCAAACAACCACAACAAAAAATAACATAAAGAACTATCAAGGTGACAAGGAAACTCAAGAAACAAATTCAGAAGACAATGACTTGAAAATATCTATAAGCAAAAAAAAAAAAAAAAGGAAAATTTAGATAGGACAGAAGCCCAACAAGAATTCCTAGAAGAGCTTTTTTTTTAGGAAGATCACTTTTTAAATTATTATTATTATTTTTTACTTTTTTATTTTAATTAATTTATTTTGATTTATCAACAATCACTTCCATATGCTTTTGAGTTTAAAATTTTTCTCCCCCTCCCTCTACATCTCCCTCCCCAAGACATCACACAATCTGATATAAACTATATATATACATTCCTATTAAACATATTTTCACATTAGCCATGTTGTAAGGAAGAATTAGAACCAATAGGAGGAACCACCAGAAAGAGGAAACAAAACATAACAGAAGAAAAAAAATAGCAAATAGTATCCTTCAATCCACATTCAAATTCCATAGTTCTTTCTTTGGATGTGGATAGCATTTTCCATCATGAGGCCTTTGGAGATGTCTTAGATCCTTGTATTACTGAGAAGGGTTAAGTCTATCAATATTAGTCATCGTACAACATGGCTGTTACTGTGTACAATGTTCTCCTGGTTCTGCTTCACTCAGCATCAGACCACACAAGTCTTTCCAAGTTTTTCTGAAGTCTGCCTGTTCATCATTTCTTACAGCACAAGAGTATTCCATTACATTCATATACCACAACTTGTTCAGCCATTCTCCAATTGATGGGCATCTCCTCAATTTCCAATTCTTTGCCACCACAAAAAGAGCTTCTATAAATATTTTTGTACACGTGGGTCCTTTTCCCATTTGTATGATCTCTTTGGGATAGAAGTGCTTTTGCTGGGTCAAAGGATATGCACATTTTTATAGACCTTTGGGCATAGTTCCAAATTGCTCTCCAAAATGGTTGGATCATTTCACAACGCCACCAACAACACATTAGTGTTCCAATTTTCCCACATCTTCTCCAACATTTATTATTTTCCTGTTTTGTTATGTTGGCCAATCTGATAGGTGTGATGTGGTACCTCAGAGTTGTTTTGATTTGCATTTCTTTATCAATAGTGATTTAGAACATTTTTTCATATGACTATAGATGGCTTAAATTCCTTCATCTGAGAACTGCCTGTTTGACCATTTATCACTTGGGGAATGACTTGTATTCTTATAAATTTGACTTTATTCTCTATATATTTTAGAAATGAGATCCTTATCAGAGAGACTGGTTATAAAAATTCATTCCCAATTTTCTACCTTCCTTCTAATCTTGGTTGCATTGGCTTTGTGCAAAAACTTTTCAATTTAATGTATTCAAAGTTATCCATTTTCCTTTTCGTAATGTTCTCTGTCTCCTGTTTGGTCATGAATTTTTCTGTTCTCCATAGATCTGAAAGGTAAACTATTCTTTGCTTTCCCAGTTTGCTTACAGTATCAGTCTTTATATCTAAATCATGAACCCATTTTGATTTTATTTTGGTATATGGTGTGAGATTTTGGTCTATACCTAGTTTCTGCCATACTCTTTCCAGGTTTCCCAGCAGTTTTTGTCAAAGAGTGAGTTCTTATCCCAGAAGCTGGGGTCTTTGGGTTATCAAATAATAGATCACTATAGTCATTGACTACTGTGTCTTGCACACTTAACCTATTCCACTGATTCTCCACTCTATTTCTTAGCCAGTACCAAGCAGTTTTGATGATTGTTGCTTTATAATACAATTTAAGATCTGGAATGGCCAGGCCACCTTCCCCTGCATTTCTTTTCATTAGCTCCCTTGATATTCTGGACCTTTTGTTATTCCAAATGAATCTTATTATTTTTTCTAACTCTATAAAATAATTTTTGGTAGTTTGATAGGTATGACACTGAATAAGTAAATTAGCTTAGGTAGAATTGTCATTTTTATTATATTAGCTTGGCCTACTCATGAGCAACTGATGTTTTTCCAATTATTTAGATCTGACTTTATTTGTGTGAAAAGTGTTTTGTAATTGTGTTCATATAGTTCCTGGGTTTGTCTTGGGAGGTAGACTCCTTAAATATTTTATAATGTCTACAGTAATTTTAAATGGAATTTCTCTTTCTATGTTTTGCTATTGGGCTTTGTTGGTAATATATAGAAATGCCAATGATTTATGCGGGTTTATTTTATAGCCTGCAACTTTATTTATTATTTCAAGCAGTTTTTTACTTGATTCTCTAGGATTCTCTAACTATATCATCATATCATCTGCAAAAAGTGACAGTTTTGTTTCTTCTTTGCCTATTCTAATCCCTTCAATTTCTTTTTCTTCTCTTATTACTAAAGCTAACTTTTCCAGTACAATATTGAACAACAGTGGTGATAATGGACATCCTTGTTTTACCCCCGATCTCATTGGAAATGCTTCTAGCTTGTCTCCATTGCAAATGATGCTTGCTGAAGGTTTTAGGTAGATGCTATTTATTATTTTAAGGAAGACTCCATTTATTCCTATGCTCTCTAGTGTTTTTTATAGGAATGGGTGTTGTATTTTGTCAAAAGCTTTTTCTGCATTTATTGAGATGACCATGTGGTTTCTGTTAGTTTTGGTGTTGATATGATCAATTATGCTGATAGTTTTCCTAATATTGAACCAGCCTTGCATTCCTGGTATAAATCCTACCTGGTCATAGTGTAGTATTCTTGTGATAAGTTGCTGTAATTTATTTGCTAATATTTAATTTAAAATTTTTGCATCTATATTCATTAGGGAAATTGGTCAATAATTTTCTTTCTCTCTTTTGACTCTTCCTGGTTTAGGTATCAGCACCAAATTTATATCATAAAAAGAATTTGGTAAGACTCCTTCTTCACCTATTTTCCCAAATAGTCTATACAGTATTAGAATTAATTGTTCTTTAAATGTTTGATAGAATTTGCTTGTAAATCCATCTGGCCCTGGAGATTTTTTCCTAGGGAGTTCATCAGTGACTTGTTTAATTTCTTTTTCTGAGATGCAGTTATTTAAGTATTTTACTTCCTCTTCTGTTAATCTAGGCAATTTATATTTTTGTAAATATTTATCCATTTCACTAAGATTGTCAAATTTATTGGCATACAGTTGGGCAAAATAGTTCCTAATTATTGTTTCAATTTCCTCTTCTTTGGAGGTGGATTTACCCTTTTCACTTTTAATACTGTTAATTTGTTTTTTTCTTTCTTTTTTTTAAATTAAATTAGAAAGAGAGAGAGAGAGACAAGAAAAGAAGGTAGAAGGAAGAAAAGAGGATAGAAGAAAATACACCATTAGCAATCATAAACTGTGAATGTGAATGAGATGAACTTACCAATAAAATGGAAGTGGATAGCAGAATGGATGAGAAAAAATAATTCAACAAGATGCTGTTTATAAGAAAGACACTTGAAATAAAAAAAAAACAACAGAATTAAAATAAGATGCTACAGCAGAATTTATTATCCTCATAAATAAATATTTGTGGTCTATTTGAAGACTTTCAGTTCCAAGGAGACCATTTCCATCCCAGGGAATCCATTCCAATTTTACATAGTTCTGGTTATTGTAAGGTATTTTCATTTTATACAGCCCAGATATATACCCCTATGGTTACCTTTGTTTGCTGTTAAGTCTACTCTTTGAGTCAAGCAAAGCATGCTTAATTATCCCTCTACTTTATAATTCTGAATGATATATCTCAAACTCTCACAAACAGATAGCACTTTCTGATTCTATACATAGTACAGTTGGGATCCTTAGAAGAGTTATGCAATTTCCTGATTTTTTTGTATGTGCTAATTTATCAAAATTTCCTATCTGTTGATGATTTACACATAATAATATTAATAATTTTTCTTGAGTGAATATGTTTGCATAGACTTATTTTCTCAGACGTTCCCCATGTTTATCTCTTTAATTTTATATTTCGTGTTTTAGAAAAATCTTGAAGATCTGTTTTCATCTTTTAATTGTGTCAACCAGGCAATACATTTTTGTTAGTTGATAGTGACAAGTAAAAATGCATTTACAAGATAAGATCTAATTCCTCTATATTTGATTCTTGGGAACACAGGAAATTTATTATGTGACAAACTGTTTTTCTTCATGTCAGGATAGTGTAGTGGAAGAAATACTAGCTTCCCAGAAGACCTGATTTTGATTGTCAGCTCCACCATTAATTATCTATGTGACCTTAAGAAAGTCACTTTTTAATCTCCCTAATTCTCAGTCCCTTCATGTTAAAACTGTAGTGATTACACTCACACCACTTACTTCATGGATGGTGGGGGGGGCATACAGTAAGACAACAGACTTAAACTCCATCATAGCCAAATTTTGTCTCTCTCAGCAGCTGGTATAATGCTATGCTCAAAATAGAGACTTAAAAATAA